TTTGGGACCAGAGTATTCAGTAACCTTTTACCACACAGGCTGCTTTATAATCAAGTTTGTATAGAAAGAAGCCTATACATATTGCTATTTTATTTTAAATAACATCCTGAATCTCAGGAATGTAAACCAAGCTGGAGGATGTGAGAATGTATATATTTCTTGTGTCTAAAGGTATATTTATCCAACATAACAAGTGACAAAAGCTTAGAAAGTACCTCATAAAGATTTTTGTTCAAATGTATAACCATATACGTGTTACCGTAACCAACTGAAGAGAAAAGAAACAGAGTTTAAGTCCACTACCCACTAACTCTAAGATTTAGTTCCTCATCCATAATGACCAAAAAAAGCCAGAAAAAATCCAATTCAGACTGATGAAAAATGACTATAGTTGGTACTCCAAATTTTAAATGCATACTCACCAAAATTTATGAAATGTCATTTAATAGCACATTGCTCTTGTAGTAAAGGGATTATCTGAGCACCTTTTGCTTTTAAGAGCTCTATTTCTTTGGAAAGATCTAGAGATTTCTTTGGCCACACTCGAACATTCTAAATATAAAGTTTACACACAATGCATTTAGAACAGAATGTAAGGTCTGCCAAGTTAGCAACTTACATATTAAACTTTCAGCCTTTGCCATAAGGATGCACATCCATGCACATTTGCTGTGATTTATACATAATACATGCACATCACATGCATATTTTCTCTCTTATACATCTCTTAACTTGGCCCACACTTTCATATAAATATATAAATACACATACATGCAGGGAAACAAAGTCAAGAATGATCAGATTAGATGTCCCTCTCAAGCTCACTGAGTTACAATTGTTTGCTAGAGAAATTATTCGTATGGTGTTCCTTGTTTAGTCGTAGGTTACAGAAGGTAAGAATTTATGGGCTATTTTGATTATGTGTATCATGTCTTCCAACTAGATGGTATTCTTCTCAGTCTCTGGGACTGAAGTGTTAGGCACATGCTGGTGGGAGATCGGCTTTGCCACACAGTATCTAGGTTTATAACCTCATCCCATGCTAGTTACAAGCTAACTGTAACTAACTAACTGTAACTAACTAATGCCCTGAGCTTCAGCTTCCTTACTAGTAAAACGTGTTAAGATATCCACAAACTTGGTGGCTGCAAGGCACCTATACAGAGCTATCTCCCTAGACTGTTTAATGAATATTTGCTCATTAATTGATAAACTTATCTCAGAAAAGGTCTGGACTGACTGCCAACCATTACTTTTACAGACTTGCCTGTTTTACAGCTATATAGACAGGTGTTCAAGAATGTACGAAATTAAAATAGAAATAGGAAAGCTTTTTAGTCCATTTTGCTAATTAATATGTCAGAGCTCATAAAGAAGAACTCATCGGCTTTCTTCAGTACTGCATCATCTTAAAGAGCTGGGTCAGCAAAGATCTCCGCAGACAGTCAATACATATTAAAACAGCTCCAAGCAGTAAATCAAAACAAAAAAATTAAGACATAGTAAAAAAGTAAAATTTATAAGTCCTTTCTGACTAAAATGTGGAGGAGCTTTATGCTATTAGTTTAGGTGCCAGCTCAGTATCTAGGGGAAAGAAAAGAAATGATTCCTTCACAGATATAGTTTAGAAGGCTGTATAGTCAAAATTAAAGCATAATTTTAAAAAAGCTATGCCAAATTTGATGTCATTTTCTTTGGATTCTAATGTTCCCTCAGAATACTGATATCATTAAAAATTGCTTTCATTGCTTAAAATATACATTTTGCTGAAGTTTTTTTTTTAACCCCCTGCATTTACTAAAATTTGGATTTTGTCAAAATTTTGTCAATTAACAAGATAAGGACAGACACATTTTTTATTTTTAAGGCTCTCTGAAACTAGTGATTTTTCTTAAAGGAACCCACTAAAAGGCATTTTGTTCCTAACCTCTCTGGGTAGGTCTCACCACTCCAGAGACATTAATTCCTCTCATAGCTGGAGGAGGACCATACAAGATTGACAACAGAACATCCTGCCAGACATCCCACCTAAGGCATGAGACGCTACACACTCAGGGGAACCCCTGAGGTAGGTCGTTAGAAAAATCTCAAGAATACTGAATTGATTCCAGAAGGGGTAAGGGGACACTACATTTTAGGTCGAAAATATTAGAAAGATTTATCTTACCTGAGCCTTTGATTTAATCTGAACTTTGAAGAACCAACCATTTAAAAATTAAGCCAAGGAAAGGGTGCCAAAAATATTGTCACAAATTTGGGAGGTACCCAAGCCAGACCAACAGATGGAACTTGGCACGAAATGGCTCTCTACACACTAAGTAGCTGACTCAGAAGAAACTTTAACTCAGATGAATTTATTAAAATGTTGAATATCACCCCAAATAAGAAGATGGATGATAGATTCAGGTCAGCACATACAATTTAACTTCCTGATGGTCTTGGATAGTATGAAAGCTGCCCACATTGCTATAATTAAAAAGAGACAGAGGGAGATACTCTTCTTTTTTAGCAAAGAGATATCACCTTTTCACTTAAATATTCTGGAGGAGAGATTTGGGGAAGGAAAAGGTAAAATGAAAAGACAATGAATGATCTCTTTTAACACTGGCAAGAGTATGACCATGGAACATTAGACATTATAGTCCTGCTGGTAACTTGCTTACTGGTCACAGACTATACCACACTGAGACTACAGTTATATATTAGGTGAATTTTCAAGATGACTTGAGTAAATGAAAGATGTTACCAGTAGCAAAAGGATCCTTAATCCTCTTTTTCCATCATGGCCCCCTCCTCAGAAACTGCTCTGCCTAAGTGCTACACGTGTAGGGGAGTTGCAGGTTACATGAGGGATTAGTTTTTTGAGGATCATTATAATTCAAGATGAATTTTCTAAAACCAATAAATATAAAAAATGGAAGAGGGTATATTCTTGAGTATATAAATTTATAAACTTAGTTGTAGATTTTTCTTTAATGCTGCTTTATATTTTCTCAGGACAGTCTCTACTGTTTTAGAGTGCTCTCACTTAATATAACTCTAGAGTATAGAATTTTAGGTAATTGGTTAGCCATCTATATTGGGTTTTCTCATACACCACTTTTGCTCCAGAGTGAGCTATGTTCTGATTGTTCTCAGCATTTCCACTGATTCCACAGGTGGCCAGTGAAAAGCTCAATAACACCATGATAAGGTTAGACGAGGACTTGGAAATGTAAAATGGTGAATGTTGTACTAGCAGTTCATTAAGCATCAGAAATCTTTAAAACACCTGATATATTTAAAGCAGCATGGTTCATATTATATAAAAGTTAACTTGATAGGTTTAAAATTATGCCATTTTTGTCATTTTTTTTCAGTTTGGAAATTATTTCAAGTTTCATACTTTGGGTAATTCTTTTTTACTGTGTTTTATATCACATTATATAAAAGCATATCATTCAACTTAGTAACATACTGTAGTGATATGCAAAGGTAACAATATTCTCATTTAAAAAGAGGACCATTAACTTTTAGTCACTGTCTGACAGAAACCTGTTTGGAAATTAAGATCAGAATAAGATTAGATTTTCTGGAAAAAAGTCAGAAAGTTTATTTGCTCATTTAAAAAAAACCAGATTGATAAATGGTCTTAAAAACTGGTTTTTGGATGTGCGTTTTTTTTTTTTTTTTTAAACCTTGAAGCCCATCCCAGTACATAGAAAGGCTTTAATCTTCAAGTCTTAATCTGTGTAACAGAACTAATGATAAGCAGTACCATTTAGGACGCACTGAAGATGAAAATAATATAGGCTATCCTTGGGGTTCTTTGGTCACGAGAACTTCCTTTTCAGGCTCCTAAAAATATTTCCAGTAGTAGAGAATTTAAAGGACAAGGATGATGGGGGAAAGAAACACTGCAGTTTATCGCTCTCAGAGAAATCTTTTCCTTCACGGTGATCTAACCTCTTAGGCTCTTTATTTGGAGAAGCAGAAAAGAAAAAAAAAACAGCCCTTCCCTGCTGTTCTCACAAGAGAAACCAGAGAAAGAGGAAAAGAAAAAAAAAAAAATCATAATCTTGCCTTGGAACATGATGGAAGTAATGAGGCATCAAGGCCACTTACTGCTGGAAACATAATTAGCACATAAACACAGGAGACACTTGGTGACTGGAAAGACTTTCTTTGTTTCAGAAACAGGGGGATGTCAACAAATTGTAACTCTTCTGTTATTTGGAGTGGCAAACCTGAGAGTAACATGGATACTCTTCCCCAAATAATACACCCGTAGAGGAAAGGGATCACTGTAGTATTTGCAAGCTTGGTAACTCTAAGTGTTTTCAACTACTGTGAAAAAAAAAACAACAACAACAATGAAGGACAAGGGGAGAGAAGAAAAACCACTTGGCAATGAAGGAAAAGCTTGGATTTTCAACTGGAAGGTATCTCCCACATAACAGAGAAAGACCCAGGAAACTCACAGAAATCCTTGTGGACTCTCCAGAGAACCTCTAGGAATGAGGGAGCTCATTCCTCAGTCTAAAGAAAGATAAAATGGCCATCTTGGGTGTGATCTTCTTTGATGACAAGCAAAAAAACTATTCCTTTTTTGAGGAGAAATGACCATACTTTTCTCATTCTGGAGCTCTTTGTTCTGCCACTGTAATGTGAAAGTCATCATGGGAAAGAGTTTCAAACTTTCTTGGATTTTCCTTATAATTCTTCCTTGTTGTTGTTTTAAGTGTTCAGCTGGCAAACAGGTTTAAGATTTTCGGTTTTATAATTATTAGTTTTTGGAAACCTTTATCCTTTCCTCTCAAAGATTTTGAGTCAGCATACATTATGCCACTACACACACAGCCAAGCAATAATTCATCTTTGTGGAAGTCAGAGACATCTCATGTATTAATTAGCAAGCCTTTCAGTGACTAGTGGATGGAAATAGGTTCCAACTGCTACTCGAACACAGCCAGCAATTTCCAGGAAGGAGAATATAAAGTCAGTTACGAGGAGTTTCTTACCCGATTTGTGAGCAGCCAATGAGTGGACTTTGCTTTCATCTGACACTGAGAAGAAATAAAAGAGACAAGGATCAGGCCTGCTTGTAAATCAGCCATTTTTTGAACAATAAATTGAAATAGATTCATAAGAAGTTAAATCTTTTACTGGAAAAAATTTGAGAAAAAAACTGTTCCCTGGCCTACCTGGGGCACCTCATATCTTTTGGTAGATATTTAAAAGGCAACTATGAGATACATCTCTCTCTCTCTCTCTCTCTCTATATATATATATATATATAATATTTATATATTATATATTTATTATGTACACACCTTAGATTGTCTCTGAATATAATTTTATTTTCTTTTAATTTTCAGTACTTTCAGCTCTGTTAATTAGGTTATTATTTTCATGCCTGCGAAAGGAGAAAGTAAACTCCTGGCGAGATGTGTAATATATAATAAAATTTTTTGAGTGTCATATATATATATATATATATATATATATATATGTATATTCAATACTCAAGGACTAGACTTCTATATCTGGAGTAAAAGGGAACAGATTTACAATCTCTCTTGAAAAAAAAATTAAATACATAAAACAGGAAAGAGTGGCAATCCAGGGATTAGACATTAGGCAGCAGAGATGAAGCAAGTGAGGTAAATCCTGTAACTGCTCCAGTTTATTGCCTGGAGAAAGTGTCCAGATTGTGGTATAGGGAGGGAAACAGAGCAGAGTCTTGTGACACCCCAGCCTGAGCACATGGACCTGGATGTCCAGGGAAGATAAGGCAAATGCCAGTTGCAGGCGGAGAACCGGAGAGGAAAGACTTACCCAGAACTCTTGATGAGATCTGCTGAAGATCTCCGTATTTAGCGGTATATACTGATTATCACACACATGTGAAGAAACTGCCCAAGACCTGGGAAGAACTACCCAAAAGTATAATGGGAAGAGTGTCTGAAGTTCACACAGGGCTGGGAATAGTGCCTAGTCCTAATAGCCAGAGTAAAGATTCATAATTCAGGGCCATGGAGAAGAAGATGAAGAACCCTGCTTCAGTAGTGGGGGGAAAAAAAAAAATCAACCCTAGATTAACATGGCTCTGATGAAATATGCAAATTTTTGAAAGTCATGAGTCACCAAAGCTTATGTAGGAAGAAATAGACTATCTGAACGGCCCTATAGTTTTTGTTGTTGTTTTTAATGAATTTGAGTTAAAACTCCCCCACCCCACACACACACACACAAACACACACAAAACTCTAGGCCCAGAAGGCTTCACTGGTGAATTCTACCACACATTTAAGGAAGAAATCACACCAATCCTCAGAAATTCTTTCAGTAAATTCAGAGGAGGGAATACTTCTCAGCTCATTCTAGGAGGCTGGTATGGTGCTGATACCAATATCACACAATGACGCTATATGAAAGCTATTATCCAACATCTCTCAAAAATACAGATGTGGAGTTCTTAATCCTTAAGCTCTCTGCATGGGTTATCACTTCAATATCCAACAACAGTTGTTCATTATTTGCTATGTGCCACTGGCTATGTTGGTCTATAAAAACCTGGTGCTCAAGGATTGAGCAATGAGAAGTGAACTCTGCTGACAAAGAAGACCCCTTCCATTTTCCCTAACACTAGAGGCCTCAGAGGAGTATGTCCCTCCTTCCTTTGCCTGCACCATTCGGTCGTATTTCACCAACCTGGTTATTATACACAGATCTTCCCACTATTTATTTTCTAGACAACAACACTACTTGTCTGTGATTCTCCTACTACTTTATTAACTTCTTAAAAATCTTATCAGACTTTTCTTCATATTTCTAGTTGGATATGTCAGTCCATACTCATCAGGCTCCAATTGTGGGCCAAATTCTGGCTTTTTCAGGTCTAAAAAAAAATTTACAGTAGAATCTACAGTACAAATAGAAAAGTACTAGAAAACAATGATGATTTAAAAATAGTAACACTAGTGGCTAATACTTATACAGCACTTGTAATGTGTAGGTTCTGTCCTATGTACTTTAGGGCTAATAATTCACTTAATCTTCATGATGACTATAAAGATGGATACTATTATTATCTTTACTTCACAGATAAAGAAACTGGAGCATGCCTCCAATGTGGAGGATCCAGAACTTAAATGTTGCACTCTTAACCACTCCACTATACTGGTGATAAGTCATAGAAGAATCGGTTATATATTCTTTGAATCATCAGTTGCATGAATAGAAGAAAATACTTGACAAAAACTTACATGTTAAGAAAACTATTATCCTTTTTATTGGAATATATGTTATTAATAGAAATCTTTCTGTGGTGATAAAAATCAACAAGCGTTAGCTATAATTTTGTTTAATATGTTTGGAAATTTAGCATTCTAATGGGTTTGAGCTAAAATACTCACCCCCAATTCACAAGTGAGAAATCATCTGGGTTAAAATTCTGACTTGGAAACTTACTAGTCATATGCAATTTATTTGAACTCCCTGAGCCCCAATATCATCATATATAAAATGAGGATAATATTGCTTCCTCCATAGGCCTGTAGTGAAGATTACATGTGTAAGTTTATGCAAAGTACTTAGAAGATCATTTAGTAAGTGCTTAATAAATACAGACTACTATCATCATTATTAAGCGGAACCTATATAGAAAGGAAGAATAACATGCCAGCTAATAACAAGATAGATATGAGTTGAATGTCAGCTTTACCAGGCAAGTTACTAGTTGTTTTCAACCTTAGTTTCCCTGTGTAAAAGATTTAGATAAAAACACCCCATGAAGAGATGTGGGAGTCAATGAAAAAAATGTACAAAAGCATCGAGCACTGTGGGCCAGGTACATATTTCTCAATAAATGAAAACTTTTGATAAATAAAAACTATGAGAGTGGTAAAGGTTGTGCATTTGATAATGGTGGTGGTGTTTATGATTTCACTTCCTGGGATTATAGAGGAACAGAGGGGGAAAACACTTGAGAGAATACAATGCCTTGGGGCAGATGTTTTGGAATTGTTATCTCATGGATAATCCAACACCCACAGCAGGGTTAACCTGGCAAGTTTACCTGTCTCCTAGTTCATCTTGTAGTGGAAGAAAGGCAAAGGAAATATGGTTTTCAGACTATATGGTCTTATTATGTGTAGTTATTCTGGAAAAGGGATTCATACAAAGATTTTATTATTTTGCATTTTTCTTTTTTCTTTGACAGACATAAGTTATCCCATTAAATCTAAGCCAATTTAAGTATTGCAAATTCCTCAACCATATTAGGTTAAACATGGTACTTCCTTAACTTTTTGACTGCACACTCTCTATTATTCTAAGTGGGAATACTTATCATTATTTTAATTGACAATCTGAAATTCTTTAGAGCACTATTTCAAAAAACAGTATAGAAAATCCAAATGGGTGATAGGCATAAAAATTAGGGGTCTTTCTCCAAAATATTCAGTGACACAGATGTCTATCTTTGGGACAGAAGATAAATGAATAAACATAATGGAAAAGAGAAGGGACTGTAATGACTTATTTAATAGAATACACTTTATTTAAAAGGTTAAATTGGGAACAATCATCTTTTATGCACATGCTTAGTGCTGGGAAGTGATTTAAATAAGAGTAGCAAATGAGAAAATGAGGTAAAATTATACACACTACCACCAGTTTTTTAAATGACAAGTGTTATAATTAATACTCAACTTCCTTTATAACTCAGATTACCTTTGAGCTACTCTAAGGTTATCTCTTGGGACTGGAGTTTAAGTATACTCATTTCACTGCATAATATTTGGATAGCACAGCGATTGGAATAGTAGCAGTAGGAATATGACAGGTGTGTCATTTCAGACTAAAACCTTATTTATAAGAGATTGAAAAATGAGTGGAATGGGTGTTGTAAAGGTCTTCCGTTCTAAAATGGTGAGGCACCAAATGCATCTAGTCAGAGAGTGCTGATGGATCAAGACTCAAAATTTCTTGTTCTGGTTCTGATGACGGATTCTTTTTTCTGTTTGTTCATTCTTTTCTTTTCTTTTGTATTTCTTTTCTTTTTTCTTTTTCAAGTTTCCAGAGCCTATTATATTCCTTTTCTTATCCTTCAGTTTTATCCAAGGACAGGTACTACTTGCTCTTGATTACTTAAAGGGATATTACAGGAATCAAAGCATTATCAGTGAAATGTGGAAACCTTCTGAAGATGAAATTCATGGACATTTTTAGTATAACTGTTATCAAATACTTAGCACTGGGGCTTGCTCTTCTTATCTCTGAATTTATTTGGATAATGGGATTTCTGTACTAAGCTCATGCTTCTTGGCCTTCAACTCAAGATTGATGGACACTGATTTAATTCTTGTAAAGTGCTTTATAAGGAGGACACTCTTGGGTTTGGATGTTTGTTAATTCCCTGGTGTATCCTCTCGTTCAGGAAGACTTGCTTGGGAAAACAGAGCAGCCTGATGGCCTCTGTTTCTAGCTGTCTTTGCTGTAGTCTTTTGAAGCTAATTAGAATTGCTCAAAACTTATACCAACTTTTTAAAAACTGGATAAACACGCAGTGTCTTTTGATTTAATCTCAACCAGGATCATTGTTAGAATTGAGAGAAACCATAAACTAAGAAAATATGGGGAGAAAAATCTGTGAAAAAGATGGCACTCTGAGAGCTTATTAGCAGCAAACATTAAAGTGCTTATAATACATACATTGGATTCCCAGTAGGATACATTTATACTAGTACAGTGATCATTTAGAATATTTTATTCTTTTGTCAAGCTTTCTCATACACTTCAAATGCATTCTCACTGGGGGAAAACAATTCTCTTGCTTATTGATAGCATTTGATACACATTCTATAACATAAGTGACTATTAGGGGCTGCACTTGCTTAATAAAAATTTGCAGAACAGTGGCAGATTTGGTGAGTTAATGGGCCCCATATGCTCTACTTAAGCTGACAGAAGACAGTATACTGCTAACACGTACAAATCTCTTCAGATAAAAACTGCCATCAGCTACAGTTACTCTTTTTGAGAATGCCAACACTATGTCATG